ACTCAAATACAACCTTGAGTATTGGTTTCATTATTGTTAGGTGCCAAAGAGTCAGTTCTGTACCAATATCACAAATGTTGCTACGTATGAGTCCATTGCTGTTGCCATGGTGCTATTACATCTAATTGGATGGTCTTCCTCTTTTTCTCTGACCCTCTAATTTACCAAACATGATATCACTCTTCAGGAATTGGTCCCCCCTGACAATATTTCAGAAATATGAGAGGTGAATTCTGGTCATCCTGACTTCCAAGGAGCATTCTGGCTGTGCTTCTTCTAATACAGATTGGTTTGTTCATTTGGTAGTCAATGGCACTTTCAATATACTCCTCTAACCATAACAAAAATGCATAAATTCTTCTATGGTCTCCTTTATTCACTGTTCAACTTTCACAGCATATGAGGCTATTGAAGATACCATGGCTTGGGTCAGGTGCACGCTAGTCCTCAAATTGACATCTTTACTCTTTAATGAGGTCTTGTGCAGAGATTTGCCTAATGCAATACATCCTTTGATTTCTTGACTGTTGCTCCCATGTTTGTTGATGGTTTATCTGAGCAAAATAAAGTCTTCAATAACTTCAATTTATTCTCCATTTGTATGTTTATTCTTACAGTGCTGAGGATTTTTGTTTTCTTTACATTGAGGTGCAACCCATACTGTGGTTTCTGATATTCATCAGTAAGTATTTTAAGTCCTCTTTGCTTTTATTAAGAAAAAGTTATATAATCTGCATATCGCAGGTTGTTAATGAGTCTTCCTCCAATACTGATGTCACGCTTTACTTCATATAATATTTCATCTTATTATGCTCAGCATACATATTGAATAAGTATGGTGAAAGAACACAAACCTGGCATATATCTTTCTGAATTTTAAACCTTTCAGTGTTCCCTTATTTTGTTGGAAAACTGCCTCTTAGTCTATGCACAGGTTTCTCATGAACATAATTAAGTGTTGCAGAATACTGTTTCTCAGCAATGTTGTCCATAGCTTCTCATGATCCACACAAACAAAAGCCTTTACTTACCTTTCTGGTATTCTCTGCTTTCAACCAAGATTCATCTGAGGTCAGCAATGTTATCCCTCGTTCCATGTCCTCATTTGAATCTGAATTAAATTCTGACAGGTCTCTGTCAATGTATATTTGCAGTCATTTATTGATTATCTTTAGTATAATTTCACTCATATGAAATATTAATGTTATTATCCAATGATTTCTTTAGGACACCTCTCTTTGGAATGGGCACAAATATGGATATCATCCAGTCATTTGATCAGGTAACTGTCTTCTGAATTTCTTGACAAAGATAAGTGAGTGCCTCCAGTTTTACAGCAATTTGTTGAAAGATTTCCATTTGTAGTCCATTAAATCCAGGAACTTTGTTGTTGTTTGTCAATGAGTTCAATGCATTTTGGAATTCTCCCATCATTATACAACCTCTTGAAATGGTTGAACACTGACCATTTCTTTTTTTTGGTACGGTGACCCTGCATAATCCTTCCATCTTTGATTCTTTTTTACTTCATTCAATATTCTGCTCATAGAATTGTTCAATATTGCATGTCAAGGTTTGAATTTTATATTAAGTTCCTTCAACTTGAGAAATACTGAGCATGTTTTTCCCCTTTGGTTTTCTAACTCCAGGTCATTGCATATTTGACTCTGTCTTCTAGAGCTGCTCTTTGAAATTCTCTATTGAGCTCCTTCTTTACCTCCTCATTTCTTCCATCTTCTTTAACATCTCTATGATAGAGAACAATTTTCAGAGTTTTTTCTGACATCCATTTTAGTCTTTTCCTTCTTTTTTGACTTCTTAATTACCTTTTGCTTTATTCCTATATGATGTTCTTGATGTCATCCTATAATTCTTCTGGTTTTCAGTCTCGCATGTCTAATGCACCAAATCTGTTCTTCACATGATCTCTAAATTCAGGTAGGATATGTTCAGGTTCATGTGTTGGCTCTCATGGACTTGTTTTAATTTTCTTTAGCTTCAGCCTGAACTTGCATATTAGGAATTGAAGGTCTGTTCTGCAGACCATTGGCCTTTGAATTTTTCAATATTCAATATTGGTGCTCTCTGACAATTTTTCACTGTTATTCATAATATTTTAAGTCATTAAATATTTGGAAGTATTATCCTAGTCAGTCTTCATCTGGAAGCTCATCTGAAACCTATCTGCCATAGATGACCCGGCTGGTATCAAAAATACTGATGGCATAGCTTCCAAAATCATAGTAACATGCAAGTCACCACAGTACACCAAACTGATAGATGAGTGGCAGAAGCTTGAATATGGCCTACTGGAATACAGAGACCATCTCAAGAATAGTTTTGACACACTTAACACCAATTAAAAAAAAAAAAAGATTGTTTGAGTTGTGGTATGACATAAAGAACATTGTACATGAAGAATGCAAAAAGTTACTAAGAAATAAGGAATGGATGGTCAAAGATAACTACTATAGCTTATAACAAGCAACTTGTTGTCGTTATGTGTCATCAAGTTGATTCCACGCATGCGGACCTGGTATGGGATGTCTGGCATAACTGGTAAACCTTCAACTTTATAGCTCAAACCAACTTTGCAGTCCAGTGCTTATTGTACTGCACAACATTAGATATAGAAAATTGGACTATTGTTCTTCAAACTCAATCTCTCCCAGTAGATAATACTAAGAACATTATGGATATGTTGTTGATGTTGTTAAATGCCATCGAGTTGGTTTTGACCCATAGTGACCCTCTATTAAGTTTCCAAGGAGCAGCTGATGAACTTGAACTGGCAACTTTGTAGTTCAAACCGACTTTGCAGTCTACAGCATTTATCCACAGCACCATACCAGGGCTCCATTATGGATATGTTGTTGTTGTTAGGTGCCATTGAGTCTATCTCAACCCATAGTAACCCTGTACAGAGTTTCTAAGAAGCAGCTGGTGAACCCACCTTGCAGTTCAAACTTGCAGTATGGCTCATTAACCCACAGCACCACACCAGGAGTCCTATTATGGATATAGACAGGCTTAAAAAGAAGATTAAGGAATTGTCTAAAATTGAGACAAAGCACCAAATATTTAAATATAGAAGAATTTATGTCAACCATCATGTTGTATATAATCATTACAGAAAATTTATAAGGGGATAAAAACAAGCTGGCTCCTGAGTTACAGGACTTGCTACAGAAACTTGTCCTAAATATAGTCCAGTTGAGTATTAGTTAAGAACATAATAGAATTATTATTAAAAGAGAAAATCCTTACACTGTGAACTTATTCTTGCCTAGTCTGCAAAGAACAATGAAACCAAATGTGGTGGTGGTAGTTATGTGCCATAGAGTTGGCTCCAACTCATAGCAACCCACGTAGGGTTTCTGAGGCTGTAAATCTTTAAGGGTACAGAAAGACTCATCTTTCTCCCATAGAACCACTGGTAGTTTCAAACTGCTGACCATAAGACTAGCAGTCCAACTACAGTGTAATTTTATCAGCTTGTTACCTTGGGACACAAATGATGGATCAAGAAATGCTGGTGTTACAGAGAGAACCTGAAACAAAAGGAGTGGAATTCACAGCTAAGTTTCAGAATCTGTATTAGGAAGTTTCTGAAGTTGAAATCCTTAAAGATACCTTTCCATAACAGATGACTAATCCAGAAATAATTGTGAGGGAAAGTGGAAGTATATAAAAATATCATGGAAGAAAATAAAAATCTTTGGGTATTAACAACGTGGAAAAAATCATCAAATATAATAATAAAAATATATTGATAGAAATTTTGAAGAGATTCAAGCTGGAATATTTCACTTCATGAAAGAATTCCTTTCCAGGCAGAACCAACTAGGAACTATTAAAATACTTCATGTAAATATTCTAAATCAGGAAGCCATCTTCAGGAAGATGCTGAGAAGCTAGCTAATAGCAACTTCTTCTAATGTTGAAGAAGTTAATATTTTATAGCATAAATTAAAGGAAGTGATTTCTGAACAATGTTGTTGCTGTTGATAAGTGTCATCAAGTCGATTCCAACCCATGGGTGACCTTGCATAGTGTTTCCGAGGAGTAGCTGGTGAGCTTGAACTGCCGACCTTACAGATCAAAAGGCTTTGCAATCTGGTGCATTAACCCACAGCACAACACCAAGACTCCTCTGAACCATGAAATCTCCTAATTATAAATACTGAGATATGGAATACATGCGAGACACTTGAGAAAATGACAAGAAAACTGTAAAGAGCATATGAGTCACAGCCAAAGCAAGAAAGGAAAGAGTGTTGCCATGACTTCCAGTCTCAGAGCTGTTTAGATAATTTTCCTCACTATGATCCCTCTTCTTGCAAAGATATAATTCAACAACCTCTTTTAGAACAGTTGAAGTAGTGTTGTTACAAACTATGTAGTGGTCAAGAAAAGTAAGAACATCAGATACTTTGGACTTTGAAATGGTTGTGCTGGTACACAGTGCTGCTTGATGCCTTTCATCTGAATTTCCTCAGAAAAATTCTAAAACTAAGATTGACACTTTACTCATTTGTAGCTAACCAAATCCATGCTTCATATGAAAAATTAAAATGTGGAGAAATAAAAGATGACACTTTGGATGAGACAAGAGAACAAAAGTACTCAGGTCCCAAAGGTGACCTTGAACCAGGAATGTGCCTTTCATGTTGCATCAGGATGGGTGATTATCTAAGTATACAAGATAATAGTGTTTAACACTTGTATTCCAAGAACATGCCACACTCCAGGGAATACCCCACATTACCCCTGACTCGATATACTTCATCCACAAATAGTACTGTAATTTCAAGTGATTCCAGATCAGAATTTTTGAATATGTATTCTGATGACCTCGACTGTGGATCACACTGTGGAAAAAGGAAGATACAAGGTCACCTTCTACTATGATAAAAACTCAAGACAACAGTTCAGTTTATGACAATATTTCCTTTTGAGGCTCTATGAGTGACAATAAAGCCATATTTAATGTAAACAGTGTCTCTGTGGTGCAATTGGTTAGCGTGTTCGGCTGTTAACTGAAAGGTTGGTGGTTCAAGTCTACCCAGAGACATTCATGTTTACAGAGTATTTAAGCGAAAGGGACTAGAAATACTGGAATAACAAAGAAAAAGAAAGTGCTGCAGGAGATGCTACTATTCCTGTAAAATCCCCTCTTTCTGTAACTACTGTAAAATCAGTACAAAATAACTAATGAGAAAGAGGTGGAGGCTGAATTTCTCAGATTATCTTTGGGGTTTAAGTGTGACTGGTTTATCTTGGAGAAATGAGTGAAGCTTGAAGAGAGGTACTGTGACTTACCAGAAAAAAAAAAAAAAAAAATTGAAGAAGAAAAATCACCAAGTGTGTAAAGCTATTAGAATCTTTAACATTTCTATGTGAAAATGACAACCAGACTAAGTAATTATTAAGAAGCTGGGCAGAACATAACATTTCTTAGCCAGTGCACAGTACAAATGGTCACTATAGGGTCGAGATTTTGGGAAACATTAATCAGGAAAACCAGATTACTAAGCAATTGAAGTGATGATTCAGCATGTAGAAACTTGAAAAGAATGTATGCCAAAAAGAATGCTGAAATGGAAGAAATGAAATGGATACTTTTGCAGAATAAAAGATATTTTAACCCTCTCAGAGATGAAGTTGACTGCCAAATTTAAAAACGTTCAGATCTCTATACTCTAAATCATTTTCTCTTCAAAGGGTAGCCATTGCCACTTTGTTCAGAAGTACTGAAAATGCGTGAATGGTGAAAGGACTGGAAAATAATGACTGCTTCAGTAGGAAGTTAAGCAGCTGGTATATTTTAGTGTCAAAGCAAAGTCAACAGCATCCCTCTTTACATCTATTTATTAGCACCTATTCTTGGGCAACTGCTCAAGAAGAAAAATGTGAACTAAAAAGTAAATACAACTCAGAACTACTGAGAAGAAATAACAGAAAAGACAAGGATGTCAAGTCTCTCTGAAATGAGAAATAATCCAACAAAATAGGATGTTTCTTTCATTTCTGGCTCAATAGCTTCCTGGACAACAAATCTCAAGACTTGCCTAAGAAAAGTTAATAACGCACTCTGGATTTCTACTGTATCCATTACACTATTTGCAGTGTTGTTGAACTTCCTCACAGGATTGTTTCTCCAAAAGTCTGTGGATATAAAACCTACACAGAATGGAACCCCTAAATGTCCCTATAATATGTCTTGTGGTCACCATCAGTGTGACTTTAGCATATCCAAACATGTACATTTTGATTTTTAAATTTCAGCATCTAAAATCTGTAAATGAATAACTTTTAGCAAGAAGAGAACAGCATAGAATCAGAGATTCTCAATACAACTGTTCACTATTTTATGTTACTTCCTCATGTAATCATCTTTCCACCTAAAATACAATGAGGTGAAAGTCTGTCTATGATTATTCAATGATCTTTTCAAGGAAGAAATAGTGCATATTTTTTTTACTTGTTGAATTTATTTAAATAAAGATATGTTCAAATATTTTTTATGAAAGGAAAAAAGGAAGGAAATAAATTATCAAAATAGATGTCAGAAAAGTCTCTGGAACTTCTTGAAAGTACAATAAAAACAAATGGAAGAAATTCTGAAGTAAAAGAGCTGAACATGATATTGTAAAGGGTAGCTTGAGGAGACACAGTAGAGTATATAAATGAAATGTACAAAGAATTGGAGTGAGAACATAAAAAAGAAAGAACACACTTAGCCTCAAGTTACATTATTAGAAGATATTTTTTGAAAAATATTATATTAGGTATGAAGTATCTAAAGAAAATTGAAGGACTACACAGAATCACTATGCAAAAAACAATTGGTTGAAGTTCAATCTTTTGAGGAGGTAGCATCTAATCAAGAACATATGGTATTGAATGAAGAAGTCCAAAATGTACTGAAGGCATTGGCAGAAATATAAAGCTTAGATAATGAGAAAATAACAATTGATGTGTTGCAACAAATGGATGAATATTAGAAGTACTATCTCATCTGTCCCAAGAAATTTGGAAGACAGCTACCTGGTTCACTGACTATAATTTGTGACCATTCCAAAGAAAGATGATCTAATGGTCTGTGGACTCTTGACAATATTAGCAATATCACATGCAAATCAAGTTCTTTTGAAGATAATTTAAAAAACAGTTATAGCTGGATTAAGTAGACATAAGATCAAGAATATTATTTTTGATAATAAATTGGTATTGATTGAAAACAGAGAATACTAAAAAAATGTTTACCTGTGATTTATTTACTATGCAAAGGCATTCAACTATGGCTCATAACAAATTATGAACAGCACTACAAAGAATGGGAATTCTAGAACAATAAGTACCATGAGCTGCCAAAAGAACCAACAGATCTGTGTTGGAAGAAATGCAGCAGAGTGCTCCTTGGAGGATAGGATGGCTAAACTTTGTCTCTCATACTTCAGACATATTGTCAGGAGGGGCCAGTTGTTGGAGAAAGAGATATCCTTCATGTTTGGTAAGGTGGAGGGTCACAGAAAAAGAGGACGTCCCCAGTGAGATGGATTGGCAAAGTGGCAACATCAATGGGCTCAAGCTTGGCAACAATTGTGAGGATGTTCCAAGATCAGGCAGTGTTTTGTTCTGTTGTACATAGGGTTGCTATGAGTTGGTACCAAATTGATTGCAACTAACAGCAACAACAACAACAAATTATAGTATGAAAAACCTGTACATTGACAAAAAGGCAGTAGTTGTAAGACAACTAGGGGATACTGTGTGATTTAAAATAAGGAAAGGTGTGCCACCATACCTACTTGACAGGAGTACTGAATAAATAATCCAAGAAATCAGACTATCTGAAAAAGAAAACAACCTCAGGATTGGAGGAAGACTCATTAATGACCTACAATATGCAGGCAAGGAGAATTTGCTGCATTTACAAATGAAAATCAAAATACAGCTATCAGTATGAATTATTCCTCAATATAAAGAAAACGAATATTCTCATGACTGCATCAAAAAGCAACATCATGATAAACAGAGAAAAGTTTGAAATACTAGAGGATTTAATTTTACTTGGATCCACAATGAACACCCATGGAAGCAGCAATCAGTAAATCAACATATTGCATTGGGCAAATCTGAAGTAGAGACAACTTTAAAGATGTTATCTTAATGACTAATGTGTGCCTCAACCAAGGCCGAGTATTTTCAACCTCTTCATACTCATGTGAAAGCTAGATAATAAATAAGGAAGACCAAAGAAGACTGAATGCCTTTTAATTATGGAATTGATGAGCAACTCTGTGGTGCTTTTGGTTAATGCCCTGTACTGCAAGGTCAGTTTGAACTTCAAGGTCAGCAGTTCAAGCTCACCAACCACACCTCAGAAACCCTATACAGGGTCACTATGAGTCAGAAC